TGAGGTACCACTGTAATGGCATTTTATGAAGATAGTTCAGAAACTTCATTTGGGCTAGAATGCTGCAGCCACACTGCTATCTGGGGGCAGCAGGACAAATCACATGCCAACTTTCAATCTGTGTAATTGGCTACCAGTTTCTTTTGGGGCTCCATCAAGCGGCCCTGTGTCTTTCTTCTCAAAACCTCAAACCAGCCATTGTCTCAGCAGGAACCACCTCTGATGACTCTAAACGATCAGATGTGGGTGGGTGGATGGCTGACTTCCTGTTGACAGGAGCTCAAGTCCACAGCTTCCACCCTCTCCCTTTCCTGAACAGCAAAAGTGCACCTAGCAGCCACATGTACCCTTTGTGTACATATGCACAGGAGCAAGGGTCACTTTTCCAGGCCAGCCGAAGAGGGATACTGGCTGGGGTGGGGTGTGGTCAAGGCCACCCGTGACGCCATCCCAGGGCACATGCTCCATCCAAGTGGGAGGTCAAGCTAGGCCTTATGAAAGCATTCCTTTGCCACGTGGAGCCCTCAGAGTTCATGGTGTGCAAGTTGTGTGTATTTGGGGAGAGAGGTTACAGTCTGATCCTTGCGGGTGGTTCAGGATGTTTTTCTAGAACCTGAGCACTCCAGTCACCCACCCCAAACCGAGCAAGAACAGGACACCCAGTGCACAGACACATCTTTTATTACAAAAAGAGAGGAGCCCAGAACTCGCCAGCTGGTTCCCCGTCAAAGACAGGAGGAGCGACACAGTCAACCTCAGGCTCCAGGGCAGAAAGGAAGGAAATGAGCTGTGCCAACCTCATGCACTGAGACAGAGAAAGGGGCAGGGGCTCCAGGGGGCAGGGTGGACCCAGGTGCCTTTACCTCCAACCCACCTGCCATGCTCACCTCATCCCACCAGGCCACACAATGACACTGCCAGCATATACTGACTACAGGCATCACAGACAATTTGCTGCGAGCCTTGCAAGGTCCCCCAGGACATTTCATGAGACTTGGAGAAGGCCTCTCTAAGACCCACCTGGCTTGGGCTCAGTCTGCAGGTGGATGGCGCCCAGTCTGCGCTGCCTAGCTGGGTGCTGGTGGCTGTGGAAGGGCAGGCTGGGAATCTGAAGCCCTTCTTGTCTCCCTAGTAGCACGCCATGGTCCACGAGGCAGCCAGCCTTGCAGAAGAGGGCACAGGTGGCAGTGCCAGGGATGTGAGCTGGCAAGGAGAAAGCACAGATCGGAGGGGCTGGCAGGAAAGGCTGACACCCACTTTAGCATGGCAGCCCAATGCCGGGGGTGCATGGAGGGGAAGGGCAGGACAGGGCATGGCAGGGCAGCTCCTGAGACAAGGGAGTCGTTTGGGGGCAAGGCCCACCCTGCCAGGGGGCAAAGAAGGGCATTCCCCAGAGGCACAGATCCATCTCCCAAAGGGAAGAAGAACCTGTTTCCTGGCACAGCAGGATCCTTGTCCTGGCCTCACTTCCAGTAGCTCTCATCCCAGATCCCTCCTCATCCCTTCCCTCCACCCCCTTTCCCCACTGGGAGAAGACAGGCCAGCACCAGCAGGGCAGTGTCAGGCTGAGTGCCTCTGCTTGGAAGACCGTCTGGGGCTTGAGGCTGTGGGACCCCTTGGAATAAGTGTTTCCCCCCTATGTGCTCTGCTCATCAGGTTCTGACTTGTCAGCCCCCCGCTTCCTTCCAGGAGCATTCAGCGCAGTGTCAAGGGCGGCTCGGAGGGAGGGAGCAGCATCCAGGCGGGCGCGGGCCTCTGGCACTGAGCAGCTACGCAGGAGGCAGAGCAGGGCTGTGGGTACAACCTGGGCAAATGGAAGAGATGTGGGGAAATCTGCAGTCAAACTGACCATTATGTTTGTTAATAAGCATATGAAAGGGTTAAGTAATACAGAGTTCCTGTATTCCTGCATTTCCGGTGGCAGGAAATAGGAAAAGATCTTAGAACCATAATGTTGGAAGGGCCCCCAAGGGCCATCTAGTCCAACCCCTTGCAATGCAAGAATCTCAGCTAGAGCACCCATGACAGCCATCCAACCTCTGCTTTAAAACCTCAAAGGAAGGACAGTGCACCAGCTTCTGAGGGAGACGGTTCCACTGTAAACACCTCTCACTGTCAGAAAGTTTTTCCTGATGTTTAATCAAAGTCTCCTTTTTTGTAACTTGAAGCCATTGGTTTGGGCATCTTAATCTTTTCTTCCTCCTTTCCCCAGTTTCTCTTTTCCTTTCAAGCCAGCAATGTGAGCAGATGCACATATATGGGCTCTTCTGGGATCCCATACTCCATTTTGGAAACTAAATTTGCATTTTGCAACTAAGAAGTATTTTTACCTGCATACCACTTTGATTTATTTGCTGTCTGTACTGAATGTAAGTAAAATCTTTTTGTTTTTACTAAAACAGGTGGTTCATTCTTAGCAATGGGGACAGAGAATGGAAAGGCCAGTAGACCACAAATAAACAGCAAGAAGAAGTGTGACTGGTGTGACTTGTACCTCCTGTGTCATGGCACAAGTGTGGGATGACCAGATGGAGAAGTGGGATGGGCAGGTGCAGGGGGGGGGAGGGAGAGAACACCTGCCTACCTTGCTCTTGTCTGTTGCTACGGCAATGTGCTTGGAGACTGGAGCTGTGCGGAGATCCTCAGAGAGCGGCTCAGGGTCATAGATGGCTTGCAGGAGACCTTCCAGGCACTTGGCATGCGGCTGGCCCGAGAACCTCTGGAGGGAGAGAGGGAAGTTGGGTGGGGCTGCCAGGGGGTGGCAAAGGGCACAGGTCCCTCCTGAGTGTGGGGACTTGAGCTCTGCTTTTCCCGCAAGGTGGTGGCCCCACAGAGCCCCTGTGATGTGAGCAAACATCACTCAGGTTCATGTCACCATGTTGCCCTGATGGTCCTCATGGGCGTCCTTGGACCAGGCTCTGTCTTTCCATGAGTAGCCTACCTAAGATGGTTGTTGTGAGGATCACAAGGATAAAGCCTGCCATTGCTTCCCAACGCATCTTAGTGGATGACTGAGATACAGTACAAGCAAATCTGGGAGACAGGCAGGGTCTCAGAGGCCCCCTCCCCAGTGTTAGAAATTGGAAGAAGGAGGGAGCTGGACTGAGCGGAAGACCTCGGCTGGCCTGACCCTGCACCAGGCACTGCTGTTGCCAAAGCAAGACTCTGCTGGCACTCTGCTGGCCAGCCCTCACCCTGGGAAGTGGACACCCATCGACTAGCTCCATGGCCCTGCAGGGGAGCCTTCTGGGATACCCCTGCCCCCAGTACCTGCAGGATGCTGACTGCCCTCCAGAAGAGCTTGGAGTTGCTCACTCGCAGGTCCACCATGTAATTGCGCAGGATCTTGCCCTTCAGCACGTGAGCCCCGGTGCTGACTGTGTTCAGGATCCACTTGGTGCTGAGCTCCCTTTGGAACCTCTGCAAAGGGAGGGGGGATGGGCTGAATGGGCAAGTGGAGGGTGGGCAGAGAAGGGCCAGGCCAGGGGGGCTCCAGCCTGGACACAAAGCAACTCTCCCCCTCCCCCTTGTCAGTGGCTCCCTGCCCCCTCCTCACCTGGATGAACTTGCCTTCATACTCCAGGAACAGGATGGGCCACATGATGCTGATGATGGAGGGGAAGAGCTTCTTGAGCGAGGCCTGGCAGGGGCAGGGGGCAAAGCAGGGAAAGAGGGGGAACAGTCAGCCAAAAGGTCAAGATCTGAAAGGGGCTTGCTCAATGGGTGTGGCAGAGCCCTCTTGCATGTGTGATTCTGCCCCTCCAGGGCAGTGGACCATGGATGATAGCCATCGTGACCAGTAGCCATCAGTCATCAGGTATTGAGGGCCTGCAAACATGCCCACCTTGCAGACAGCACCTACCGGCAGGTATTGCCCGACTGTGGCATGAGAAAGGGCTTGCACGTTGCAGGTCCTCTCCTTCACCTGAACCACCAACTTCTCCACTTCATCAAGGTTGTCTGCAGTCAAGAGAGGAGAGAGGGGTGTTGGTGGCAAAGGAAGGCAGCACAAGAGGGTTTAGGGTGCTCACTCTCCCACCAGCTGTTTCCCTTTCCGGAAAGGAGGGAGAGGAGCCGATCCAAGTGCCTTTGACTCACAGGTGGGGCTGTCTGATGTGGAGCCAGCCACTGGTCCAGGCAGCCCAGGATTGTCTCCAGGGGCTCTGGGGGACAGGATGGCCCCCTATGTGTAGGAGATTAGCATTCAAAATTTAACAGTTAAGAAGTCTAGGGGCTATTAACCACAGGGCTATAAATTGCTAGACAGGCAGATTTGGACCATAGAAATGTAAAAGGTGGAGAGAGAGAGCTCTGTGTGATGTCATTTCCTCTGTTTCCTGTCACTTCTCTCTCACACTTCTTCACCATGCCTTCAAGGCAGACGTATGTTGGTGATCTCCCTGACTGCACAATCCAATTTTGTAATCAGCTATATATTTTGAAACCCTTAAGTATTTTACCTGCATAGTTTTACTGCTGCCTTTGCTGTGATCCAATGCAAGACCGCTAAGTAAGTAAACACTAATTTTACTTACTTTTTAAGTTGTTGCCGGATTCTTTGTTAAGAGGGGTTAAGCCAGCTAACCTTCGTAAGTAGTAGTAGTAGTAGTAATAATGATATATTTTTTCTACCCCACCCACCTGACTGGGTTGCCCCTGCCACTCTGAATGGCTTCCAACAAAATATAAGAAAACAGAACAAAATATCAAGCAGCTGGATTTGCTCAGAAAATATAATGCTTTGCAGCCTAGTTTCAAGCTTCTGTATTTTGCTGCCAAGGATGGGGTTCTCTGTGTAACCCATACACATGGAAGACTGGCAATTGTAATTAATGTATCCTCCCCGTGCCATCCATAACCTGATCCAACCACTATGGCCAGGCTCTTCTCATGTTCCTTGCAAATTGTGATTCTTTTCACCTAGAGATGCTGGTGGCTGGACCTCAGAGCCGCCTCCTGCTCTGCCGCTGAGCTGCAGCCCCCTCTCTGAACCAGGCAAAAAGGGTAGGAGGTCAGGAGCCCTCAGAGCGCTGGCTCCAGCAGCCCCCTTTCTGCCATCCCTTCTGTGCTCGCTGAGCTGCAGACTCCCTCGTCCTCTCACCTCATGGCTCCCTAGAACATCCAAAGGGCCCTGCAGCTGGATCTGGCCAAAGGAGACCCATCTAGCGGAGCATCCTGGTCTCACAGTGGCCAACCAAAAGGAAGCCCACAAGCAGGATCTGAATGCAGCAGCGGCAGCCAGCCCCCTCTCCACTTGGGGCCCAGGAACTGGTCTGACAGTGCAGGCAGAACCCAGCCTTGTGTCCTCCATGAATTTTCTTCAGAGTATAAAACAACAACAACTTTCTCCTCTTGACGGCAGCCAAGTTGGTGGCCATCTCTGCCTCCGTAGTCTAACCATGTGGAGATGCCTTTCCTTTCTGCTGCATCTCCCAAGAGGCCCTTCTGCCCCCCCCAGCCTCACCCGCCCGCCCCCGTCTCTCACCATCCACTGTGAAAAGGAAGAGGACAGTATCCAGCTCCGTCAGTGATGGGAGGATTGTTTTCACAAAATCTTCTTCAGAGAAAGCAAACTTGGGGCCCTGCATGAGAAAAACAGAAAGAAGCAGCTGTCCACGCCTGGCTTTGGGGGGGGGGCATGCAGGGGGTCTTGAGTTATGGGTTGGCCCTGATCTACCAGAAATGAGATGAACTGGCTGTTGCCTTGGATGTCCTGGCACTGCTTGGTCTGTGTGCCCAACTCCCATGTGAGGGGGGCCTTGGAGAAGGGGGTGACCCTTGGAGGGCGCAGCTCCTCTTGCTTTCGGGGTTGGGCCTGTGCATTTGGGTTTGGTGTCCCCTTTCTGTAGAAGCCCCGAAAAGAGGAGAAGGAAGTGGAGGAGGAGGTGGAAGAGGAGGTGAAGAAGGAGAATCATAGAATCATAGAATCATAGAGCTGGAAGAGACCACAAGGGCCATCGAGTCCAACCCCCTGCCAAGCAGGAAACACCATCAGAGCACTCCTGACATATGGTTGTCAAGCCTCTGCTTAAAGACCTCCAAAGAAGGAGACTCCACCACACTCCTTGGCAGCAAATTCCACTGTCGAACAGCTCTTACTGTCAGGAAGTTCTTCCTAATGTTTAGGTGGAATCTTCTTTCTTGTAGTTTGGATCCATTGCTCCGTGTCCGCTTCTCTGGAGCAGCAGAAAACAACCTTTCTCCCTCCTCTATGTGACATCCTTTTATATATTTGAACATGGCTATCATATCACCCCTTAACCTCCTCTTCTCCAGGCTAAACATGCCCAGCTCCCTTAGCCGTTCCTCATAAGGCATCGTTTCCAGGGCTTTGACCATTTTGGTTGCCCTCCTCTGGACACGTTCCAGTTTGTCAGTGTCCTTCTTGAACTGTGGTGCCCAGAACTGGACACAGTACTCCAGGTGAGGTCTGACCAGAGCAGAATACAGTGGCACTATTACTTCCCTTGATCTAGATGCTATACTCCTCTTGATGCAGCCCAGAATTGCATTGGCTTTTTTAGCTGCCGTGTCACACTGTTGGCTCATGTCAAGTTTGTGGTCAACCAAGACTCCTAGATCCTTTTCACATGTACTGCTCTCAAGCCAGGTGTCCCCCATCTTGTATTTGTGCCTCTCTTTTTTTTTTGCCCAAGTGCAATACTTTACATTTCTCCCTGTTAAAATTCATCTTGTTTGTTTTGGCCCAGTTCTCTAATCTGTCAAGGTCATTTTGAAGTGTGATCCTGTCCTGCAGGACCCCAGCCTAGCAGGTGTCCAAACAACCTCCTCCTCTGCCCACTCGCCTGTGCAATCAGATCAGCCTCTCTGTTGAACATTTCGCTGCGGTCCCCAATGAGGAAGCCCCGGACATCGTTGATGTCTGTGTCATGAAGGGAGAAGCAGAAAAGAGAGTTCATGTGTCTGCATAAGAAGGAACCCCCACCCTCTCTCAGTCTCTCTCTCTCTCACACACTCATGCACACGCACTGGGACCTCCTGCCAATCGCCTGCAGCCTCCTCCAGCCCCTCCTCCAGCACATGACATTTCCTGGGCCTGGTGAATGGGGACATTCTGGTGGCGGTGGGTCCCACATTTTCAGAACCACTCTCTGCCCGGACTGAATTCACCCTCCTTGCCTGGTAGGGCTCACCTGCCCCAAAGGTGGGGATGCACTCAGCCCCATCCATGATGGCGATGATGCCCAGGGTGTGCCAGCCGACCAGGTAGACATAAGCCTTCTTCTGTAGGCTGTGGCAGAGAGAGGCAGAGATTGTGCTGGGGGGCAGAGAGTTTTTGACAGGCCAAAGCCCACAGGAGCTGAGTTTCAAGGAAGATAAATTCTGGTTGCTGTGAATAAATTCCTGCCCACCTGAGGCTCACCTGGTCCCTGCTTGCTTCACAAGGGCAGCAATCTTCTTGCTCTGACCATAGGTGACTTTGTGGGCCCGTTCATAGGTGCGGAGGATTTCCAGAAGACACCTGCAGAGAGGATTCAGAGAGAACTCTGCTGGGCTTTGTGCTGCTGGTCAGCTGCCAGGAGAGGGACTGGGAGCTAAGAGAGGCTCCTCTCCCCACCCCATGGAGGAGCCCCCAGAGGCTGCCCTGCTTGGCTTCTGCTCCATAACTCACTTCTCTGAGATCTCGCTGTCCTTGGAGACTGTCTTGTGTGCAGTCAGGAGCAGAGTTTCCAGAAGGATCTTGGTGGCGCTGCCGCCCTTCATGCGGGATGAGCCAGTGAGCCCTTCAGGCTGAAATAGCACAGCGGGCTGAGACCGGTCCCTGCCTGGTCCTTAGAGGAGACTCTCCCAATGCTCCATGGCAGCTGCCAGGATGTGCCAGAGATCAGGGCCCCATGGCCTGGGCTGGCAATCCTGCCTGCCTGCACTAGCCTATCGCAGGCCTTCCTGGGAACAAGCTCTTATACTGGAGCACAACTAAAGCATACCCTGATGCCCACAGCCAGCAGCCCTTGTTACGAGAGACATGTGGAGCTCAAGTGAGCACACTCTCCCCCCCCCCCCCGCAGGGCTGATGACGAAACAAATTGCCCTGAAAGATAGAACTTGAAGGAAGTAGATTTCAGGTAAACATGCTTAATTGAATTCCATTTTTTCCATATATGTAAGTGCTGGGGAGGGCAGGGAATGGGCTGCACAGGGGGGGCGGGTGCTACTCTAGAACAGGCTCCTGCCTGCAGAGGGGCTCTGTTTGGCTTGGAACACCCTTTCCTCACTGACTGATGGCACCAAAGCCTTTTGAAGAACCATAACCATCCAAGGGCCTCTTCCAGGTGCTTCACCTGAGGGAGGTGCAGCAGGTGACACCCTGAGAATGGGCTCGGTCAGAGGTGACAGCCCCTGCCCCCTATCTGTGGGCTGCTCTCTCCAGTGGACCACCCTCGGCCCCACCAATGCCTATATGTGGTATGGATGCGCAGGGATGGTAGGTCTGATGAGGGAAGCACAGGGAAGCCCCCCCCCACTCCCCAGCACTCACCCCCACGGCAGGATTGAGGATGAAGGCCTGGTGGGTTTCCTGCAGCTTCTCCATCCTCTCAGCCACTTGCCGGAAGGTGGAGTGGAAGCCCTCAATCTTGTCTGTCCTGTAGGGAGATGTGGGGTGTGAGAGGGCAGGCAGGGGCCTCTTGTCCAGATCCCCCCGCTCCGCTGGATTCTGACGCTGTCCAGGCCACCTCATTACTTTCTTCACCTCCACAAGGTCACCCTCTCCAGAACCCCACATGGACCTCCTCTTGCTTGCCACAGGGAGAATTTAGAATGTTCATTATAGATTACTGTTAATGCAGATGAACATTTTACAAAGCCCAACCTCTGAGGCAGAAAGAAGGTTGCATCCCACTCCATACTCTCATTCTACTTTAGCTGGGGATTTCTTGATTATCTTACTAAAATGTGTGGTTCATTCTTAACAAAGGGCACAGAGGGGGGAAAGTCAGCAGACTACAAATAAACTGGGATAAGTGGTGTAATTGCCTAATTCCTAGATTCCAGGAAGCTGCAAAAGCGGCTGTGTGTTTTTTACTCTTCTAAAATGGCTTCACAGCCTGTTAACTCTCATATTTCCCCACCACATGTGGGATTGGTGATTTAAATTTAAAGTTACACATTTAATCCTCAACCCATCTCCATTATCTGCCTTCTTCTCCCCCAGCCAAGCGCCTCCCAAGCTTGAGATGCCTCTGGCCTCTGGCACAGGAGATGCTCTGAACAGGGTTGGCCAGACTGGGCAAAGTGTTTGGCAGCTCACCCTGCAGCTCTTCCGGACCTGCCCCCTGCCCCCCCTTACCTGGCCATGGTGACTGGGTTGAATCCCACCAGAACTGGGACATAGATGTCCAAGTTGTTCATGCAGAAGTCCAGCTGCCCAGCCACGTAGGGAGCCTGTTGCAAGCAAGCAGAGCCCGTGTGAGGCGGCACCAGCCACAGTGGCCATGCCTTAGCTGCAGGCAGAGGCAGGCAGCCTCTGCTCCAAAGGCCATGTTCCTCCAAGGCCAAGCTCCAAGGGTTACTTCCGTCTCCCGGACTCACATTTCCTCTTTCAGGCCTGGCACCAATGTACAAAACTCAGTGCAACAGCATAAGAAGAGCCTGTTGCATCAAGCCAAAGGAAGCCCACCTAGTCCAGCATCCTGTTCTCACAGTGGCCAACCAGCTGCCCCAAAGGGAAACCCTCAAGTAAGAGTCGAGCACATGATCTACTCTCCCCTCCCGTGATTTCCAGCCACTGGTATTCAGAAGCATTGCTGTTTCCAATTGTGGAGGCAGAGCAGAGCCATCGTGACTAGGAGCCGTTGTGACTAGCAGCCATTGCTAGCCCTCTCCCCCTCATGTATTTCTCGCCTCCTCTCAAAGACATGCGAGTCAGTGGCCATGACGGCCTCCTGCAGCAGCAGGTTCCATAGTTAACTACACGTTGCCTCACTGACTGGCAACAGCTCTCCAGGGTTTCAGGCAGGGCTCTCTTCCTGCGCCACTTGGAGGTGGGGGATCAAACTTGTGACTTTCTGCCCTAAATCAGATGCTCCAACCACTGAGCTCCAGTGGCCCTTCTCCATTGCCAGCAGAAACATCCACTGGACACACCTAAGGACTTGACATTGAGGGAATTTGTCAGAGGTGGCTTTTGTGGTCCTCCATGTAAAACCTTCTGGCTGGGGTGGGGTGCAACATTCCTCTCGTCTTCTGCTCCCCTGCCCATCTGGAACAGAGATATCCCTTTGTCTCCTACAGGAACTGGGAGGGTCCCTCCCTCCCGTCCCTCCCTCCACTCCTGTCCTGCATGAAATACTCACAGACAAACCACATGAAATCCCAAAGAAAATGACCTTCTTTTTCCCTTCACAGACCTGGAGGAGGAGGAGGAGAGAGAAAAGGGAGCTCAGTTGTCACTGTTATGCTGCTGCTGCCCCTAACCCCCCAGCCCACCCAGGACCAAAGGCACCCATCAGCTCTCCTGCCCAGAGCACCTGTGGGCTTCCTGCCAGTAAGGCAAGGGAAACCAAGGCCTTTACATGTTCCTGGTGGAGCTGCTCTCCATCAGAAGAATCTGTAGCTGGTGCTTGCTCCTTTGCAACAGCAGCTCTGGGGAGCAGGTGGGTACTCAGAGCTGAGGGTGCTGGTAGACAAGGGTCTCTCCACACACACACACACACACACACACACACACACCAGCAGCCTCACCTTCTTTAGGTCCTCAATGCCCAGCAGCGCACTGTCCTCAGGGCCCTCCAGGGATGCTACAAGAGACCTGTGAGAAGAGGCATAAGAAGTGCACTTGTCTGTGTGGGAACTAAATTTGCAGCCAAAATGAGATTTCAAGCTTTGCTGGATAAGCAAAGGGTTAAGACACCTGAAGATTCCCTATAAATTGCTAAAGAGGACACGATGTGAGGTCATAGCCCCTGCTTCCCCTTGGTAGGAAAAGTAACAAATGAAAATATTCCTTACCACTTCCTCCCTCCTCAGTCTCTTTTTCACCATGGAGCTGAAGAGAAAGGATGCTTAGTCTAGACTCCATTTTTTTATCTCAACCATATTTTTATAATGTCAGATTCTGCCTCTCTTGTTTTAACTGCTGCTTCTGCTGGGATCAGGTCTGAAACTTTCTGTAATAAGGTTAAGCTACCTTGTCCTAGAAGTTTCCACATCTTATGCTGCAAAAGGATGCAGACCCTTCAACTGTCCCAATTTAATCAGGGCACCTGATTTTGGGGGACCATGCTTTCAAGCGAGATCTTGGCCCTGAAATAAGTGCACCCTAGTTTTCTGCTTGGACATGTTGGAGGGTATGAGGATGGTCATTTTACATGCTGCTAACTAGATGTCAAACTCACACAAGTGAGTAAGAGGAAGGATAAATAATAGCCCACCCTGCCCTCCAAATCCACCCAAAACTCTGAACCCTCGAACATGAAACTCTGCAGCCTAGAGCTCCAGTTACCATCAGCACCACACAAATGCACACATGCAAAAGACTCTCTTCTCCAAACTCAGGTCTGCACCCGAAACGTTTCCACATGCATTTGTCCCCCACATGTCCCAGACACCCCCCACACTGGTCTAGTAGCCTAGAGTCCCAAATGGCTTTTTTTACAACCCACCTGCTCATCCTGTGTCCTTACCTGTCCCCCCCAGCAATTATATACGTGTACTGGGGCAGCTGCCCCAACCCCTTCAGGAGTATGTTAAAGGATACCTAGGAAAAACAGACACAAAGACAGTCAGGGAGGTGTGGGGCGACCTGTGCCCCCCCCCCAGCTCTGAGGGACCACCCCAAAGGCCACAGTGCAAAGCCTGCCCTTCCTAGCAATGCAGTCCCTTTGTGGCATCCCAGGCAGGTGCCCCCTCCCGGTGCAGCCCTGAGCCAGGCTCAGTGGCAAACTCTCCAGCGCTGACTCCCAGGGGCAAGAGGGCAAGCCCCAGGGATGCCCCACAGATGGCAGCAGCCCTCCCTGCATCAGCAGGCCCTCTTCATTAGCTGCACAGCCCTTATCTCCAGGCATGGCGGGGGCTTGAGAGGAAGGAAGAGGAAGGTGAGGCAGGAGGCACTCACCGCCATGAGGAAGCCCATCCGGCCAGAGGCTCCCCCTCCACTCAGCACAATGAGCGTGTTGTCTGGTTCCTGAGGAAAGAAGGAAGAGACAAATAGGCTGGGTGTCCACCCACTCAGCTGATCCTGGCCCAGCTGCCAAGGGCCCTCTACCCCACTCCTCATAAGCAACTGAATAGGTATTCCATCCAGCGGAAACGGTGGTTGTAGCTGGACATGTGGGATAACTAGCCTCATACAGTATAACGAACATCTATTGCATGAAGGGGTTAATGCTGTATAGTAAGCTGCCCTGCCAGGTCACTTCCCCTCACCTTGGGAAGGTAATCAAGCATTTTTTTGTATCTCAGTCTTTCCACTCTGCCGCCAATGTGAAGAAACGCCTACATTTTAGCTGTGAAGCTAAATGTGAAGAAACTACATTTAAGCTAAACTTAATTATGTGTTTGTATTACCATTTGTAATATGGTGAAGAAAATGTGAAGAAACTACATTTAAGCTAGACTTAATTATGTGTTTGAATTACCATTTTAAGCCTGCCTGAAAAAAGCTACTGCATCTGTTACTCTACAGCAAATATTTTAAGGGGGAGAAAAGGGGGAAATCCCAGGAGAATCCAGTCTGCCTTAAAGCATCCTGGATTACTTAAATGAAAAGGCTAAAACTAGCCTATTTAAGCTTTCCTTTTAAGCTGCAAAGGGATGCACTCTGTTGAACTCACAAACATCATGAAGGAAAGATAATATCTAATTATTATATCCTCTCCTAGCATTTATACACATCCCGACGACAACAACAACAACAACAACAACAACACCACCACCCACCCACCCACCCACCCACACACACACACACTGCCTCCTGCCATACCTTCAGCACCTCCTGCACTTTGGCAATTATGTCCACCATGGTCTTCAGCACTGACTCGCTGTACAGCCTCTGGGGGAGACAGAAAAGCGTGTCAGTGGCACTCAATGCTATTTCTCCATCGCATCTGCTATGACTGTTCTAAACCAGTGCCCAGGTACAGCAGTGGGCAGGATGGTTGCCAACAAATTGAGACAATGCTGGTAAGACAGAGACCTTGGTGTGTGTGTGTGTGAGTGGTTCCCAGATGCAGAAGATGGGGAGTTCGCCAGTTCAGGGCATGGTTGTGCCTCGTCTGAAGGAGCGGGTCTGTAGTCTGGGGGCGCTCCCAGTTTCATCTCTGCTACTGGAGGCTCAGGTGACCTCTGTGGCAAGGGACACCTCATGTTAGCTTAGGATGGTGTGCCAACTACACCCTTTTCTGGTCAGAGATAGCTTAGCTGTCATTCATGTGTTGGTAACTTCACAATTGGACTACTGTAATGCATCCAACATCAACTTCATTGGACTGGTCATGTTGTTTGGATGCCTGATTATCGTCTTCCAAAGTAACTACTCTCTTCCCAACATAAGAATGGAAAGCGAAATACCGGTGGACAACAAAAGAGGTTAAAGGTGCCCTCAAGGCAAATCGTTAAAAATGTAGTATAAACACTGACAGTTGTGAAACACTGGCCTGCAAGCGCTCCAGCTAGAGAACAACCTTTACCAAAGGCACAAACTCAGGGTGAAGAGTAGAAATAAGCTAAGAGGAAGACACGTTTGGCAAACCCTCATCATGATCAACTGTCTGGAAACCCACAGGGTCCCTTCCAGCTCTGCTAGTCTATGATTCTACAGTGTTGAAGGGTCATATTCCAGATCACCCCCACCCCAGGCAAGTAGGCAGGGAGAGGCAGAGTCACCTTGTAGTTGACCAGCGCTTCGTCGTCTTCCTGGAATATTTCTGCATCACAGTCTCTGAGCAGCTGGACGATCTGTGCAGCGTCCGCCTTGTCCAGCTCCCGGGTGATGGGGTTAGACTTCTCTGTGATGGGCAAGGCAGCCTCGTACCCTGCCAGCTGGGAGAAAAAGGCATGAAGGGAGGGAGCTGTGGGGAACAGACGCAAGGGGGGCAATAAGCACTGCAGAACAGCTGCAAGGCGCCGCCCTCCGAGATCTGCTGGGATCCACCCTGAGAGAAGCTGTGCCTGCCTAGACTTTCCGGTGGGTTTTCCCTTGGCATGTGGCACATTTTTGCTGACTTTCCATCTAGGACTTTTGAAGTCCTGGGACACATGTCCCAGAATCTTTGCCCCATTGAGCACCTGTGCACAGGGCCGCTATGCAAATCCATGACAAATTTCTATTTTTATTTAGATGCTAATCTGCCAACACCATGACTCACTGTGACTGACATATACAATATGATCAGACACATCAATGCTGTACGGGTGCAGCCTCAAAGGGACATGTAATCCAGTGTCCAGATATGGGGCGCCTCTTCTCAAGGAGTTTCAGAAAGAGGCTTGGAAATGTACTGAGGTCCTGGATCAAACCTCCTCCCAGGATATGTTGCAGTGCACGGGGGAGAATATCCCATCCTTGGAGGGCTCCTCAAGGGGCAAGGAAGAGATTCTGAAGTTTAAGGAAGAACTTTCTGACAATAAGAGCCGTGGACTCTCCTTCCTTGGAGGTTTTTAAGTAGAGGCTGGGTGGCCCTCTGGCAGGGATTCTTTCGCTGTCATTCCGCATTGCAGGGGGTTAGGCTAGATGACCATGGGGTGCCTACCAACTCTATAGTTCTCTGGTTCTATTATTCAGGCCCTCATACCAACCAGAGAGGCCATCACTCCTCACTCCAACAGAGCACCCACCCACCCTCCCTCTTTCAGCATCTTTCCTTTCAACAAACAACAACCCTGGGGGATTCAGGCTGCCTTCTCTTCTGCAGCCCTGGGACCTGTGGCAACAGGAGGTCCTGCTGGGAAATCGCAGGTGGGCAGAGAGGGCTGTGGTGCCCCTCAAGTCCTGCTTGTGGGGGCTTCTTCCCGGGGGCGTCTGCCTGGCCACTGTGAGAACAGGAAGCTGGACTAGATAGGGGATCCTTGGCCTGATCCTGCAGCCAGGCTCTTCTTGTGTACTTGTGGGGCCTTCTGCATGCAGGGCAGGTGCTCAGTGACAGAGCTGTGCATGGACCCTTCTTCTAGGGGCAAGCGCTGGGTGCACCCCCCTTTTCTACTTATCTGGTGGTGCCACTCGGACAAACGAAGCTTCCTTCCGAAGAAATGCAGGCACCCATCCCCACTCCCCACCCCTCAGAAGCAAGGCTTCCTTTCACCATGCTCCATTCTGCCAGACCACTTGCCCCCCTGCCCTTGGGGGCAGGTCCACCTGCCGCAGGGAAGTGCTGGCCCTTCTCTCCCAGCTCCTGCTCCCGTCCTTACCTCCCACTTGCCCTGGTCTGGCGTGTCGATGACATGAGGGTATTTCTTGGTGCCCCGCATGGTTCAAGGCCAAGAACAGGCTCAGAGCTCTGGATGCTGCTTTTGCCGGCCTTATCAGGCCTCTGCTGTAATGATTAATCCAGGCAGTTAAAATTCAAGCTGCTCATTGCTCCAGAGCAGAGATTCCTCGCTTATGGGGGGCGGGGAGGCAGGGCTCCCCCTCTATCTCCTGAAGGGCACAGTCAGGTGATTGCATCACTCCTGGCTCACCAGGAGGAGGGAACATGCCCCTGGTTGATAGCTGCATGGCAAGCAAGGCCAGAGAGGCTCTGTTGGAAGGGCACCAAGAGAGAGGAGGGAGGGAGATGTACTGGACGGAGTGTCGGACCTGGGAGAGCAGGGTTCAAATCTCCACTCAGCCATGATGCTTGCCAGTCACTGCCTCTCAGCCTAACGTACCTCACAGGGTTTTTGTGGGGTTTAAATGAGGAGAACTCTCTGTGCCACCTTGAGCTCCCTGGAGAAAAAGATACAATGGGATAGAAAGGCAATGAAATGACTAAGAATGCCACGGCTCTCCCATAGCCCCACAAGGGTCTCAGGCCCAGGTGGAAGACTTTGTCCCACTCTAGCTGCTGTGGAGCTGAGGCCCACAGGCAGTGGTTGCAAAGGCACTGAGGGCAACAGCTGGCAAACTCAGGAGGAAGATTAAACCAGACTGAATCTTTGGGCTTTGCAGTTCGCAGCTCTGGGGTGGCTCAAACCTAAATTCCGGTCTCTCCCACTGGCATTTGCCCTGGAGCCCAGGACACGAAGCAAAACATGTTTGCTTTCACCAGGCGAGGGTCAAAGGGCCCTTGTCACGCTTAATGACCCCTCCTTTCCTAGCCTGTGCCAGACTCCAGGACAAAGGCCCATCTGTTCTGTGAGCAGCAGCAGCAGCAGGGAAATTGTCTGGTTCTTCCCTGAGCACTGGCGGAGGAAGGGGGTGCAGTGGGTGCAGCTCACCCCAGGTCATCACTGCCCCGCCCCCTGGGATGCTTGCCCTGCCCCCGCGGACAGCTAGCCCCGCCTCCAGGTGCACAGCATGTGTGCCGTTTCGGGTGCCGGGACAGCTACCTCCGCCTCTGTCCCTGAGTGCTTAGATAAGTGGTTTTGAACCAGTGTAGCGTGGCACCCTGGGGTGCCTTGAATGGTATTGTCAGGGCAGCCCTGACAGGTATGTTGAAACGGATCAGAAAGGGGGGGGGACTTTTCTCTTTTTCAATATGATTTACCTAACAACCCCCCCCAAGAAGAACCGCCACAATGATTGATAGCAAGTGAGATGGGAAAATAAACTGTGTGGAAACAAAATTATTAACCAAAGGCTTTGTTTTGCGGAAGAGATGGAAAGGAAACGAAAAAGGCGGAAAAGAAAGCCTTACTTTGGGGGCCACAGTTCCTGAACTGCACATTGTCCAGTGCCACACTCGCCAACGAGGAGAAGATCACCTGTGGAGGGGGAGGCAGTGCTCTTGACATGCTCCAGAGAAGGAGCCGGGTGGGGTGGGGGGGGCAAGGAGCACAAGACCCACCTGGAAAGCGCCAAGGACTCTTCCAGTGTAGGCCAGCAGGGGGCACCAGGCGCCAGAGGACGAGGCGGGACTTCGCCACCGGGGGACAACGTGGCTGCCGTGGCTCAGCTCTAATGTGAAGCTCCTGTTGAGTCCTGCAGGGGAAGGGCGGAGGGGTGAGGTACCTGGGGGTCATCCAGTCTGACCCCTGCGAGGATTGTGGATTGCCATCTGGTCTCAGCCGCTCTCATTTTTATCAGTCCCCAATGGGGGACGGGAAGCAGGGCATCAGTAAATGTCATGATAAGAATGATCAGGATGGTATTTCTTTACGCCGACCCTACCAGGTGGGTCAGTGGTCTGGAAATCAATAAATAATAATTATCTGATACGATACATCCTGCAGTTTAGAAACGTAATATGTGATATTGATATGGAATTACAAGAACTGTGCCAGGCGGCATTTCCTCCACCACACAGGGGAAAAGGCTGAGTATGTGGCTCTGCACCTGTTGGATTTCTGACCGCAAGCGCCCCAAGCTTACCTGTCTTGGCCATGCTGTAGCAGGCATGGTGCTCACAGGCTGAGGCCGCGTTGCTCAGGGTCAGGGAGCGGAGTTGGGCGGGGGTGGCAGGCGGCTTGGCTCACTGCTCCGAGATGCTCATGTACCAGCCTGAGGGGAGGTCGGGGGGCGCCAGTTCAAAGGGGTGCTCTAACCACTAAGCAATGCTTCCCCTCCCTTCAAATGAAGCATGTTTACCCTTGTCGGTGCCCCGCATGTGGTCAAAGGGGGGGTTGGCGCCACGCGCCCAGCCTCTGCCCTGCCCTGGACGCCACCGGTATTCTACGTGCTGACATCCTCCTAGCAGCTAGCAGCAGGTGGTGCCTTCAAAGTCGCAGGCCAAGGCAGTGCCCGGTGGTGGGAGCCCATTCTGGTAGCCTGGAAGGAGAAGGAATCAGGCGCCCTGAGCAAGCTACAGTTCCCAGCATTCTGGGCACCAAGTGCTGTTAGGAGACCCCTGTTCCCCCCATGAGCTACAGTTCCCAGAGTTCCCTGGGAAGAGAAATGAGCTTGGGAACTATAGTTCTGTCAAGGGAATCGCAACCCTCAACGCCCAGAGAAAGCAATCATTTCCAGGGTGCTTTGGGGGACATTGTGGGAACTGTAACGTGTTCAGTTTCCCAAGGAGACCCTCTCAGAGCTAGAACTCCCAGCGTTCCCTTGGAAAGGCTGTGCGGAATATTCTCCTCCCAGTTCCCAGGGTGCTTTGATCAGGATGAGTTAAATCACTCTCTGAGAGGGGAATTGAGGCACATCTCCCCGGTTCCTTTGGCGGCGCCCAAACTTACTGCAATGGCTCTCGTCAGAGCAATCCCAGCAGTTGCAGGCAAAGTTGCAGGCGCTGGCGCTTGAGTTCCCATAGGCGCCCCAGCTAGGAAATGGAGGCCCAGCTGGGGGGGGGAGGGGGAAAGTGACGTTAAAAGGAGAGGAAGAGTGAGAGAGAAGGGGAGCATCCTAGAATGGGAGAGATGGAAGGTCCTCAAGGGTCATCTAGTCCAACCCGCTGGAAGGAAGCTCGGAGCTATAGTTCCCAGGATTTTGGGAATTGAGAGAGGGAAGAGAGAGAGGGACAGGATTCGCAGTCCCCGTCTCCCTTCGCCCCCCGGCTCACCCCAGCCCAGCAGGGCACCCCACAGCACCCACAGGGGCGCCATCCTCCCAGCAGCACTCAGTAGGACAGATAAGCCCCCAACCTATCTGTGCGGGTGAGGTGGGCCAAAGGCTGGCGGGGCGGAGGCAGAAACCAGGACTTTGGCCCCTGCACCCCAAAGGACACCTGGGGGGCCCCCGGAGCCCACCTCTTGGGGCAACCCTAGCCTCCCAGGAGCCTCTTCTGCTCTGGCGGAGCCTCCTGGGCCAGAGGCAGTCTACCTGGGCTGCTCCTGAGGGAGCTTGGAAGCAGCACTCAGGGAAACGCTGCGAGGAGGAGGAGAATAAGGAGAATGCTAATAATGAGGATAATCATTAATAATAATAATAATAAGGAAAAACCTTAATTATGAGGTTATTTTATATAAATATAATATATAATATAATAATATAATATAAAATATAATATAATATAATATAATATAATATAATATAATATAATAATATAATATAATATAATATAATATAATAATATAATATAATATAATATAATATAATATAATATAATATAATATAATATAATATAATACAACAACAACAACGAGAAACCAGGCCCCTCAGGCACTGTTGGGACTCCTCCCTGAGGGGATTTTTTTTGGGGGGGGCTCCAGCCTTCCTTCTCCGCAGGGACCCCCCCCCCAAGAGGCTCCCACCTCAGGAGGGAGCCCAGCGGCACCCAGCGGCCAGGCTAGGCCCCACTGCCCTCAACCAACATGGCGGCGGTGGCGCGTCTTCTGCCCTTCCCCCCCCCTCCGGCCCGTTTCCCTCTTTCCAGTCACGTCCAAATGGCCCGCCTAGGACCTCCTCCCTCAACGCACGCGCACGGCAGCCACAGCAACACTAAAAATCTCCGCAGCAATAGGTTGGCCTTTTCGTCGTTGTTGGCCAATCATAGGTCGGGTTGTGGGCGGGGCCCGCCGCTTGGCGCTTTTTCTCCTCAATGTTTCCCACGCCTTTTACGTGAAGGAAGCTGGTAAGTTTTGTCGTGTTTTTAATACTGTATTCTGTTGGGAGCCACCCACAGTGGGTGGGAAATAATAATAAATTATTATTATCATTGATTTTTATATTACTATTATTATTATTATTATTGTTATTATTATTAGAAAAGGCTTAGGGAAGTTTGTAATTATTATGTTTTGTCACGTTTTTAATATTCTGTTGGGAGGAGCCCACAGTGGCTGGGGAAGGATAATAAATTATGATTATCATTAATTTTTAAATTGTTATCATTATTATTCTAATTGTTATTATAAAAGGGTTAGGGAAGTTTGTAGTATATTATGTTGTATCGTTTTTTTAAATATTCTGTTGGTGGCTGGAAAATATTATTATCATTAAATGTTAAATTATTATTATTTTAATAAATCACACCCACACAAGTGGGATATGGCCTCTTCCCCGCTAAGCCTTAACAGAATAGTATTTTTATTTATTCGAATTGGGGCACACATAACTGGCTGTGAGTTCAGATCTCCATTGCTTTCCCCCCACAGGCCACCTTTAATGTATTGAAAACTGTATCTGAACAATGTATTGAAAACTGTATCTGAACAATGTATTGTTCAGATGAACCACTGCTTTAAGCAGTGGTTTTGTAATCAGGTAATTCCTCAATTCAGCCCTGAGTGCTCACTGGAAGGACAGATCCTGAAGCTGAGGCTCCAAGACTTTGGCCACCTCATGAGAAGAGAAGACTCCCTGGAAAAGACCCTGTACGTTTCTGAGCACAATTCAAAGTGTTGATGCTGACCTTTAAAGCCCTAAATGGCCTCAGCGCAGTAGACCTGAAGGAGCGTCTCCATCCCCATCGTTCAGCCTGGACACAGAGATCCATCTCCGAGGGCCTTCTGGTGGTTCCCTCCCTGCGAGAAGTGAGGTTACAGGGAACCAGGCAGAGGGCCTTCTAGGTAGTGGCGTCTACACTGGAATGCAATTCCATCAGATGTCAAGGAAATAAACAACTATCTGACTTTTAGAAGACATCTGAAGGCAGCACTGTTAAGGGACGTTTTAAATGTTTGACGTTTTATCGTGTTTATAATATTCTGTTGGGAGCTGCCCAGAGGGATTGGGGAAACCTAGCCACTTGGGCAGGGTATTATTATTATTATTATTATTATTGGACTGAAACTGCCTTGGTCGCACTGGTTGATGATCTCCGGCGGGCTAGGGACAAAGGTGAGAGCTGTTTCCTAGTTCTGCTGGATCTCTCAGCGGTGTTTGATACCATCGACCATAACATCCTTCTGGACCGTCTTGAGGGGCTGGGAGCTGGGGGCACTGTCATACAGTGGTTTCGCTCCTTCCTCGTGGGCCGTGTTCATAAAGTGGTGGGGGGGATGAGTGTTCAGACCCCTGGGCTCTCACTTGTGGGGTGATTCAGGGTTCCGTCCTCTCCCCCATGCTTTTCAACATCTACATGCAGCCGCTGGGAGAGATTATCAGGGGGTTTGGGCTGGGTGTTCATCAGTATGCGGATGATACCCAGCTCTACCTCTCTTTCAAATCAGAACCAGTGAAGGTGTTGATGGTCCTGTGTGAGTGTCTGGAGGCGGTTGGAGGATGGATGGCGGCTAACAGATTGAGATTGAATCCTGACCAGACAGAAGTACTGTTTTGGGGGGACAGGAGGCAGGCAGGTGTGGAGGATTCCCTGGTCCTGAATGGGGTAACTGTGCCTGGGAGTCATTTTGGATTCACAGCTGTCCATGGAGGCACAGGTCAAATCCGTGTCCAGGGCAGCTGTTTACCAGCTCCATCTGGTATGCAGGCTGAGACCCTATCTGCCTGCGGACTGCCTCGCCAGAGTGGTGCATGTTCTGGTTATCTCCCGCTTGGACTACTGAAATGTGCTCTACGTGGGGCTACCTTTCAAGGTGACCCGGAAACTACAACTAATCCAGAATGCGGTAGCCAGACTGGTGACGGGGAGCGGCTGTCGAGACGATATAACACATTGGTTCCCAGTACGTTTCCGAGCACAATTCAAAGTGTTGGTGGTGACCTTTAAAGCCCTAAACGGATTAGGGTTTAGGGTTAGGGTTAGGGTTAGGCTGGGGCTAGGCCAGGGCCAGGCCAGGCTAGGCTAGGCTAGGCTAGGCCAGGTAGGCCAGGCCTAGGCTTAGGCCAGGCCAGGCCAGGGCTAGGCCAGGCCAGGCCAGGCTAGGCCAGGGCCAGGCTGGGCTAGGGCCAGGCCAGGGCCAGGGCCAGGCTAGGCCAGGCCAGGGCCAGGCCAGGCCAGGCCAGGGCCAGGCCAGGTCAGGCCAGGCCAGGGCCAGGCCAGGCCAGGCCAGGCCAGGCCAGGGCCAGGGCCAGGGCCAGGCCAGGCCAGGCCAGGGCCAGGCCAGGCCAGGCCAGGCCAGGCCAGGCCAGGCCAGGGCCAGGCCAGGGGCCAGGCCAGGCCAGGCCAGGCCAGGCCAGGGCCAGGCCAGGCCAGGCCAGGCCAGGCCAGGCCAGGGCCAGGGCCAGGCCAGGGGCCAGGGCCAGGGCCAGGCCAGGCCAGGGCCAGGCCAGGCCAGGCCAGGGCCAGGCCAGGCCAGGGCCAGGCCAGGCCAGGCCAGGGCCAGGCCAGGCCAGGCCAGGCCAGGGCCAGGCCAGGCCAGGGCCAGGCCAGGCCAGGCCAGGGCCAGGCCAGGCCAGGCCAGGCCAGGCCAGGCCAGGCCAGGCCAGGCCAGGCCAGGCCAGGCCAGGCCAGGCCAGGCCAGGGCCAGGCCAGGGCCAGGCCAGGCCAGGCCAGGCCAGGCCAGGGCCAGGCCAGGCCAGGCCAGGCCAGGGCCAGGCCAGGCCAGGCCAGGCCAGGCCAGGCCAGGCCAGGCCAGGCCAGGCCAGGCCAGGGCCAGGCCAGGCCAGGGCCAGGCCAGGCCAGGCCAGGGCCAGGCCAGGCCAGGCCAGGGGCCAGGGCCAGGCCAGGCCAGGCCAGGCCAGGGGCCAGGCCAGGCCAGGCCAGGCCAGGGCCAGGCCAGGCCAGGCCAGGCCAGGCCAGGCCAGGCCAGGCCAGGGCCAGGCCAGGCCAGGCCAGGGGCCAGGCCAGGCCAGGCCAGGCCAGGCCAGGCCAGGCCAGGCCAGGGCCAGGCCAGGCCAGGCCAGGCCAGGCCAGGCCAGGCCAGGCCAGGCCAGGCCAGGCCAGGCCAGGCCAGGGCCAGGCCAGGCCAGGCCAGGGCCAGGCCAGGCCAGGCCAGGCCAGGCCAGGCCAGGCCAGGCCAGGCCAGGCCAGGGCCAGGCCAGGCCAGGCCAGGCCAGGGCCAGGCCAGGCCAGGCCAGGCCAGGCCAGGCCAGGGCCAGGCCAGGCCAGGCCAGGCCAGGCCAGGCCAGGGCCAGGCCAGGCCAGGCCAGGGCCAGGCCAGGCCAGGCCAGGCCAGGCCAGGCCAGGCCAGGCCAGGCCAGGGCCAGGCCAGGCCAGGCCAGGCCAGGCCAGGGCCAGGCCAGGCCAGGCCAGGCCAGGCCAGGGCCAGGCCAGGCCAGGCCAGGCCAGGCCAGGCCAGGGCCAGGCCAGGCCAGGCCAGGGCCAGGCCAGGCCAGGCCAGGCCAGGCCAGGCCAGGCCAGGCCAGGCCAGGCCAGGCCAGGCCAGGCCAGGCCAGGCCAGGCCAGGCCAGGCCAGGCCAGGCCAGGCCAGGGGCCAGGCCAGGCCAGGCCAGGCCAGGCCAGGGCCAGGCCAGGCCAGGCCAGGCCAGGCCAGGCCAGGCCAGGCCAGGCCAGGGCCAGGGCCAGGCCAGGCCAGGCCAGGCCAGGCCAGGCCAG